TTGAAGCTAAACTCAAAGAGACAACTGAGAGACTGGAGGATGAAGAAGAAATCAATGCTGAACTGACAGCCAAGAAAAGAAAACTGGAGGATGAGTGCTCTGAGCTGAAGAAAGACATTGATGACCTGGAGCTCACCCTGGCTAAAGTGGAAAAGGAGAAACACGCCACTGAGAATAAGGTTGGAGTTTGAGTTGGTTTAATCTCGGTCTTATATGATGATATAGAATATGAATTGTAAAAAACAAGCTCATTTGGAACAAAAAAATCAGGTCAAGAACTTGACTGAGGAAATGGCAGCTCAGGATGAGAGCCTTGCCAAACTTACAAAGGAGAAGAAAGGTCTCCAAGAGGCACATCAGCAGACCCTGGATGATCTTCAGGCAGAGGAGGACAAAGTCAACACCCTGACCAAATTCAAGACAAAACTTGAGCAGCAAGTTGATGATGTGAGTAACTAATTAAACAAGTGATGAATTCATTAAATTAACAGGCTTTTTTGCCCTGAACATATTTTATATATCATTTTCCCATAGCTTGAGGGTTCCCTTGAACAAGAGAAGAAGCTCCGCATGGATCTTGAGAGAGCCAAGAGAAAGCTTGAAGGAGACCTGAAATTAGCACAAGAGTCCATCATGGACCTGGAGAATGACAAGCAGCAATCTGAGGAGAAACTTAAAAAGTAATTAAAACATGAAATCTTTTATTGAAAACTTTTTTGTTGTTGTGTTATTGTTTTACAACCACTTATTATTGAATACCCACAGGAAAGACTTTGAAACAAGCCAGCTGCTCAGCAAGATTGAAAATGAACAATCTCTGGGTGCTCAACTCCAGAAGAAGATCAAGGAGCTTCAGGTAATTCTTGAGTTTTGTTTTGTTGTTGTTTTTTTTGTTTTTTAACACTGTTACAGGCAAAGTTAAAATAAAGAGCAATAAGGTTTCATTAATTACTTGCCGCTGTAGGCTCGTATTGAGGAACTGGAGGAAGAGATTGAGGCTGAGCGTGCCGCTCGTGCCAAGGTTGAGAAGCAGAGAGCTGATCTCTCCAGGGAACTTGAGGAGATCAGTGAGAGGCTTGAGGAGGCTGGAGGAGCCACTGCTGCTCAGATCGAGATGAATAAGAAGCGTGAAGCTGAATTCCAGAAGCTCCGTCGTGATCTTGAAGAGTCCACCCTCCAGCATGAAGCTACTGCTGCAGCCCTCCGTAAGAAGCAGGCAGACAGTGTGGCCGAGCTGGGAGAGCAAATCGACAACCTCCAGCGCGTCAAGCAGAAGCTTGAGAAAGAGAAGAGTGAATACAAAATGGAGATTGATGATCTCTCCAGCAACATGGAAGCTGTTGCTAAAGCAAAGGTTTGAGAACTGGTTTTTAAATCTGTTCAAGGAAATATATCAAATGTGGTTAAGATTCTTAAGAATCAAATGACTTTGGTGTTTACAGGCAAATCTTGAGAAGATGTGCCGCACCCTTGAGGACCAACTTAGCGAAATTAAGTCCAAGAATGATGAGAACATTCGCCAGATAAATGACCTCAGTGCTCAAAGAGCAAGACTTCAAACTGAAAATGGTAACCCAATGACAATCATGATGAAATTAATACTACTTCAGTAGTAAATGAGTATGGTGTATCAAGATTATTTAGCACTGAATATCTGACAAAGTCTTTTTAGAGCAAGCACACATATTTAAATTTTGCTTTCAAAGAGTTTGTTTTGATATTAACTAAAAGAGATATTGCACAGTCTGACACAGTGAATCTAAATCTAAACAGGTGAGTTTGGCTGTCAGCTGGAGGAGAAGGAGACTCTGGTTTCTCAGCTCACCAGAGGCAAACAAGCTTTCACTCAGCAAATTGAGGAGCTTAAGAGGCAGGTTGAAGAGGAGGTTAAGGTAATACAGCATGATCAATACAAACACATATTTTCCACTTACTATACAACAAAGCTAATATTATGTGACTTTGTCAACTAGGCTAAGAACGCACTGGCCCATGCTGTGCAATCAGCCCGTCATGACTGCGACCTGCTCCGTGAGCAGTTTGAGGAAGAGCTGGAGGCAAAGGCTGAGCTGCAGCGGGGAATGTCAAAGGCCAATGGTGAAGTTGCTCAGTGGAGAACCAAATATGAAACTGACGCCATCCAGCGCACTGAGGAACTTGAAGAGTCCAAGTACGAAGATTACTGAATAATATTCCTGATTCTCACAGCTATTTTATAGCTTTGAATACAATGCAATGTGTAATGCTTAACAGGAAGAAGCTGGCTCAGCGTCTGCAAGAGGCAGAGGAACAAGTTGAGGCTGTGAACTCCAAATGTGCATCTCTGGAGAAGACCAAACAGAGACTCCAGGGTGAAGTGGAGGACCTCATGATTGATGTGGAGAGAGCCAATGCTTTGGCTGCCAACCTTGACAAGAAGCAGAGGAACTTTGACAAGGTAAAAAGTTTGAGTCATTATGTAATATTCTCTTTTTAAAGTATTGCTGGAATGGACCTTAATCAACATGTTACAAACAAAACCTGACCCTGAAATATCTTCATAAAAGGTCCTGGCAGAATGGAAGCAGAAATATGAGGAAGGTCAGGCAGAGCTGGAAGGTGCCCAGAAAGAGGCTCGTTCACTCAGCACTGAGCTGTTCAAGATGAAGAACTCCTATGAGGAGACTCTGGACCAGCTGGAGACCCTCAAGAGAGAGAACAAGAATCTGCAGCGTAAGAATTCCTTTGTACAACATTTAATTAATTAACAAACTTAGTAGTGTTAAATCTGTAGAGATTCACAGCATATTTATGCTGATAATATTTTCTTTCCAACTTGTAGAGGAGATTTCAGATCTGACAGAGCAGTTAGGTGAGACTGGTAAGAGCATCCATGAGCTGGAAAAGGCCAAGAAGGCAGTGGAGACTGAGAAAGCAGAGATGCAGACCGCACTGGAGGAGGCTGAAGTGAGTATCTGAAGATCAATATGTAAATCTGGCTAAAACCATTGTACTGTTCATTTTGAGGTTTAAATGTTGTTTTTTATTATTAATAGGGCACTCTGGAGCATGAAGAGTCCAAAATTCTCCGTGTCCAGCTTGAGCTAAACCAGGTCAAGGGTGAGATTGACAGGAAGCTTGCAGAGAAAGATGAGGAGATGGAGCAGATCAAGAAGAACAGCCAGAGAGTCACTGAATCCATGCAGAGCACTCTGGACTCTGAGGTCAGGAGCAGGAATGATGCCCTGAGAATCAAGAAGAAGATGGAGGGAGACCTTAATGAGATGGAGATTCAGCTGAGCCACACCAATCGCCAGGCTGCTGAGGCCCGCTTGACAAGAAGCAGAGGAACTTTGACAAGGTAAAAAGTTTGAGTCATTATGTAATATTCTCTTTTTAAAGTATTGCTGGAATGGACCTTAATCAACATGTTACAAACAAAACCTGACCCTGAAATATCTTCATAAAAGGTCCTGGCAGAATGGAAGCAGAAATATGAGGAAGGTCAGGCAGAGCTGGAAGGTGCCCAGAAAGAGGCTCGTTCACTCAGCACTGAGCTGTTCAAGATGAAGAACTCCTATGAGGAGACTCTGGACCAGCTGGAGACCCTCAAGAGAGAGAACAAGAATCTGCAGCGTAAGAATTCCTTTGTACAACATTTAATTAATTAACAAGCTTAGTAGAGTTAAATCTGTAGAGATTCACAGCATATTTATGCTGATAATATTTTCTTTCCAACTTGTAGAGGAGATTTCAGATCTGACAGAGCAGTTAGGTGAGACTGGTAAGAGCATCCATGAGCTGGAAAAGGCCAAGAAGGCAGTGGAGACTGAGAAAGCAGAGATGCAGACCGCACTGGAGGAGGATGAAGTGAGTATCTGAAGATCAATATGTAAATCTGGCTAAAACCATTGTACTGTGTTGTTCATTTTGAAGTTCAAATGTTGTTTTTTATTATTAATAGGGCACTCTGGAGCATGAGGAGTCCAAGATTCTCCGTGTCCAGCTTGAGCTTAACCAGGTCAAGGGTGAGATTGACAGGAAGCTTGCCGAGAAGGATGAGGAGATGGAGCAGATCAAGAGGAACAGCCAGAGAGTCACTGAATCCATGCAGAGCACTCTGGACTCTGAGGTCAGGAGCAGGAATGATGCCCTGAGAATCAAGAAGAAGATGGAGGGAGACCTTAATGAGATGGAGATTCAGCTGAGCCACGCCAATCGCCAGGCTGCTGAGGCCCAGAAACAGCTCAGGAACGTTCAGGGACAACTCAAGGTATGTGACTTCTCTTTGACTTTAAGGTGCATTAGTATGTTTGTATAATCTAACCTATGTTTAGTAATGACCAACAGAAAGCACACTGCAAGCTTGTTGTAAAACTATTGTTATGTTCAGGACGCCCAGCTGCACCTTGATGATGCTCTGAGAGGACAGGAAGACATGAAGGAGCAGGTGGCCATGGTGGAGCGCAGAAACACTCTGATGCAAGCTGAGATTGAGGAGCTGAGAGCTGCTCTGGAGCAGACAGAGAGAGGCCGCAAAGTGGCTGAACAAGAGCTGGTGGACGCCAGTGAGCGTGTCGGGCTGCTGCACTCTCAGGTAAAGGCATATTGTTTTTACAATGAAATTAAGGAAATTGAGAGCCTCATTTAAAATGTTTATACTATTGCTTTTCATGTTGCAGAACACAAGTCTCCTGAACACCAAGAAGAAGCTAGAGGCTGACCTTGTTCAGATCCAGAGTGAAGTTGAAGACACTGTACAGGAAGCCAGAAATGCAGAATATTGTCTATGTTTAGAACACCAGTCTGCTGAATCAGAAGAAGAAGCTGGAGGGAGATAATACTCAGCTTCAGACTGAGGTTGAGGAGGCAGTGCAGGAGTGCAGGAATGCTGAGGAAAAAGCCAAGAAGGCCATCACTGATGCTGCCATGATGGCAGAAGAGCTGAAGAAGGAGCAGGACACCAGTGCTCATCTGGAGAGGATGAAGAAGAATCTGGAGGTCACAGTGAAGGACCTGCAGCACCGTCTGGATGAGGCTGAGAATCTGGCCATGAAGGGAGGAAAGAAACAACTCCAGAAACTGGAGAGTAGGGTAATTATTTTTTTTCTCCATATAAAATATAATTTTAGGATAAAATCTCTTGAAGATGTTGCTTACACTTATTCTTAAAGGTGCCATAGAATGGAAAACTGCATTTACCTTGGCATAGATGAATAATAACAGTTCTGTACATGGAAATGACATACCGTGAGCCTCAAACACCATTGTTTCCTCCTTTTTATGTAAATCTCGAGAATGCAAAAGACCACGAGCACGAACGTTAAAAAATAAAGAAAGAGAAAATAAAAAGTGATCGTGCATTCGCATATCCCCGCATATTAATAGCGGCTCCCTGATGCCCGCATTTTATATACAGTATAATTACCCAACGATATAACTGCAAGAGACAGGATTGAAATATATTTTCCCCGTGTTTCCTTCCTGCTGTGTGAGCTACTGAAATGAGCCGCACTGTCAAATGAAACAGCCAATCAGAGCAGAGCTCAACATTATTATTCATGACCCTTCCAAATAAGGTAAAAACAGACCATTTAATTCTAGGGACAAATCCTAGGGTTGTAAATGGACATGTAAAACCGTTTCTGGAGATTTTTGCCCTTAACTTAGCCACATACCTTCTATGTAGATATCAGAGAACAATTTAAAATATTGTATCAATGCATTCTATGGCACCTAATTAAAGCACCATCTCAGGTTCCAAAAGTAGTTACCAGGCAATAACTACTCAGTTGTACACTTGTCTAAAAAACTTTTATGTGCTATCAAAGGTCCGTGAGCTTGAGGCTGAAATTGAAGCAGAACAGAGACGTGGAACTGATGCTGTTAAGGGTGTCCGTAAATATGAGAGGAGAGTGAAAGAGCTGTCTTATCAGGTATAATCATACCCGACCAATTCCATAGATTTATCCATACAAATCTATGAAATATTTTTTATTGTTTGTAGACTGAAGAGGATAAGAAGAACATCAACAGACTTCAGGATCTGGTTGATAAGCTGCAGCTGAAGGTCAAAACCTACAAAAGGCAGGCTGAGGAGGCGGTATGTTCAATTTATTTGAACATTTTGACACATTTGATTATTAATTAGTAATTTATTTACTGGTGCGATATCACTGATGTTCCACAGCTTAGTTAACAAACATGGTAAAAATGGTACTCTTTAGGAGGAGCAAGCCAACGCTCATCTGTCCAAGTTGAGGAAGGTGCAGCATGAGCTGGAGGAGGCTGAGGAGCGTGCTGACATTGCTGAGTCTCAAGTCAACAAGCTCAGAGTCAAGAGCCGTGATGCTGGAAAGGTCAGTTGCATAATAGCAGCGTCTGAACTCACAGTAAATGATTTCTTGCATTTACTGAAAAGAAACACAGTATTCAACTTATGCTTGAAAAGTGTACTGATTATATACATGACTTTTGTATATCCTTTTTTTTTTGTCTCAGGCCAAAGAAGAGTGAATCCCTCAAACCTGATGGGAGCCTCTACTGAAGTCATATAATATGATTGTTCTGTAGATTTACATTTATTATTCTTTTTGAAATAAATCTGTGCTCACTAGATATTTGTTTTGGAGTGATCTTTAGAGGAATTTTATTCTCAAATAAATTAATGAATTCATTTTTAAAATGACATTATCACTTAAATAATGAAATATTCTAAAGTCTTGTCAAGAATGTAAAAAAGCTTTTTCATAAAGGCTACCTCCACTCATGTAAGAAAAAAGGGAAGTTTTAAATTAAAAGTTAAGCAGCCTGTAAGAACTCACACTTAGGTGGTCACAGGCAGACAGTTAATAATTTAATGGAATTTGCCTGAGTGGAAATTCTGCCATGATAGCAATAGCTCCAGAAGAAATGGAGTGGTTGATTAAATACCTTGGAGGCCACAATAGTGGACTCTTTTGAGCTGGAAAACTGCCCATTAATGGTTTCAACATAATGTATGTTGGTTAATTAAAAAAATTAATTAATGCATTAAGATTTAGGTGTATGAGTTTCGGGATTAAAATTGAATAAATATGCAATAAAATTGATCTAAGTTGACATTACATCCATTTATTACCACTGAAATACATAGTGCATAGAAATAATCTGTTTTAATCAATAAACAAAACATCAACAACAAACGTTTAGTCACACTTACTAACATCATGTTCTATTCAATTAGCCCGTTCTAATAAAAAATAAAAATAATAATTATAAAATAAAAACTATAGCTAGCCAGGAGTAACAAGACATTTCGCTAATTTGTTCATGGACAGATGAGGAAAATTGTAGTTAAACCATAATAAACCACAAATTGACCCGGGTTTTGCTACACTAACCATAGTTTAATCATGGTATTTAAATATGATTATACAAATAGTAAATCACAAA